AATACAACCGCTTTGGAAAGCAGTCTGGAGGGCCCTTAGAAAGCTAAATATTGACCTCCCCTATGACCACTCCTAAGCATGTATCCTGAACAACAGGAACCAGGATACAAGGACACATGCACCTCCATGTTCATTGCAGCACTGTTTACAATAGCCAGGATATGGAAACAACCCAAATGCCCCACTACAGATGAATGGAGCCAAAAATTGTGGTACCTATATATAATGGAATATTATGAAGCCATTAGAAAGGACAAAATAATGGCATTTACAGGGAAATGATAGAACTAGAAGAAAGCATGTTGAGTGAGATAAGCCAAGAGCAAAGAGACAAAGGGCACTGGTCTCCCCGATAAGTGGATGTTAAATCCAAAACGTAAGGAGATATGACAAAGTAAACAAGACTTGAGAAACAAAGGACCTCCACTCATCTAGTCGAATCATTACTAAATGACCCCATGCTGCTGACCACATCTATGGTATATATGTGCACATCGGAGGGAAACTAGGAGGAGGACACAGAACCAGAGGGAAACAGGGGAAAACATACAACAGCGGGACCCATCAGCTGCACTGGTCATTGATCTAAATGAACTATAAGTGACTCAATGGCTGTGATGGGAGGGAGGGAATGAGTGGGAAAGAGGGAACAGCTGACACTAAGCAAAAGGAAAGAATGTACATATCACCCAATGTGGAAGAAATAACTGTATTGTCAAAGCTCATAGAATTCATAAACTTTGGGCTGGGAAGGTGGCTCAGTGGTAGAGCACTTGCTTTGCATGCTCGAGGCCCTGGGTTCGATTCCTCAGCACCACATAAGAAAAAGGCCAGAAGTGGCGCTGTGGCTCAAGTGGTAGAGCGCTAGCCTTGAGCTGAAGAGCTGAGGGACAGCGCCCAGGCCCAGAGTTCAGGCCCCACGACCGGACCCAAAAAAAAAAAAAGAATTCATAAACTTTATAGACCATGATAAAGACAATTTGCCCCATGAAGGTTAGAATGTGTTTGTGACTTTAAATATCACTATCTCACAACACTGTGAAATTTATGTAATCACTTAATCACAATTTTTAAAAATTGCTATTAAAAAAGAAAGAAAAATAGAGATCCTCATTCCTGGAAAAGCATATAAGCTGTGATTGAATGTATGTAGTCTTCAAAATACACACTCTACAAAACGAACCCCAAGATCGGAACATAAGAGGTTTTATCTTTGTTGCTGTCGTTTTTAATGTACTTATAATATACTATGTGATTTTTTTTTGTTTCTTTTGTATGTTCTTCCCCTGTGGTATAACCCCTATTTTCAGTTGTGATTCCCCTGCCCTGCATCTTGTATAGACATTTTTCTAATTTGGGGAGGGGAAGGGAAATAACAAAACGCTGAAATAAGGATACAGGTTGAAATGAGAAGTACAAAATGTCATGTCAAAACCAGCTTTACAATGTTGGTGTGGGGGGGGGGGGGAGAGGGGAGGCTGGGAAGGGAGGTGAAGGGTAAACAAAGGAGGAGGTTGCAATGCTTGGTAAGAAATATATGCATTATCCTGCCCATGTAATTGTAACCCCTCTGTATAGTATGTTCTCAAATAAAATAAAATAAAATTAAAAAAAAAAAAAGGATACAGGTTGACCCATTGTAGCAATAAGATGTACAAGACAATATGTTGAAAACGAACTTTACAACTTTGGCTGGGAGCAGGGGAGGGGGTCGGGGGAGTTGGGAAGAGGGAAGAAGGGATGGTAGGGAAAAAACAAAGTAGAGGGTAACTGCTCAATAGGAAATGTATTCATTACCTTACTCATGTAACTGTAATCCCTCTGTACAGGATCTTTACAATAAAAAATATATTAAAAAAGAATAATTTCGGGCTGAGAAGGTGGCTCAGTGGTAGAGTGCTTGCCTTGCATGCATGAGGCCCTGGGTTCGATTCCTCAGCACCACATAAGCAGAAAAAAAAACCTGGAAGTGGTGCTATGGCTCATGTGGTAGAGCGCTAGCCTTGAGCTGAAGAGCTGAAGGACAGCACCGGGACCCAGAGTTCAGACCCCACGACCGGACCCCCCCCCCCCAAAATAAAAGAATAATTTCTTCCAACTCACAATGAATAAATCCTAATAAAGCACTAAAGTAGCCTACTACTATGGAAACAAAATAAATAAATAAACTTGCTTCTGTTTAAGTCTTCCTCTGTGTCCTTCCTTAAATTCTTTCTCCAGTGACACCAAGAAATTTCTGTCCCTCCCTGTGACTTGAGTCTGGTAACATCATGATGACACTCAGTCTGCCAAAAGCCCCCAGAAACAGAACAATCAGAGACAGACAACACAGGCCAACAGGAATTTCCAGTGAAGTAAGTTCAACAGTTCTTCTACTCTGCCTCCACCAGAAATAAAAGTAGACACCCAAATCTTTCTTGAATCTTCCAAATTGCAGCCAGTTCCACTTCATGATCAAAGCAGAGAGAATTCTTTGTATCTCTCACCCAATTCTTGTATACCAGTCTCTTTCTGAAGTTAGTTCACATTATTCAAATTTGAGAAAGCAAGATTTAATTCAGGGCACTAAAATACTTTACAAGTAAAAAGGCTAACCCATTTCCTCAAAAATGGCATCATGTTTTATTACTGCATTGAATTCTTGTGGTCTATCAAATTATTGCTCCGATAGGTAAGTGAAAATATTTTAAGAAGATCTCAGAGTTGTTTGAAGCATAGTACTCTCATGCTAAAAGCACTTTCATGCTGACTGATAACTCAAAAACATTGCACAAGTACCACCAAGAAGTTACAATCACACATATAACAATGGATTCCTAGCACTGTATCTTGCTAGGCGTGGGAGAGTGTGGCAGATTTACTCAGCGAGTCATAACACTTAGCTATTAAGTGCCCAAGGCCCAAGGCAGTAGAGGCGGATGATAAATCTAACAGGGAAGTAGGCTGGTCACATACAGTATGTGTATCTACCCAGATGATGAGGAACTGCTGGGCAGCAGAAATACTACACACATAGATGGTGAGGTATAGTTGGCTTCCTGGTTCCTGTCTCGGATAAGGCTTGGTGTACAGCCCCACAAGTCTCAACAAGGAGCACCCCAGGTGAGCTCAACGTGAGCACAGTCCTCCTCTTCAACGAACTTGGCAGATCCTCTTCCCATACTCCTACAACATGGATGTGACCTCCATAAATTGCCTGACCCAAGCAGATGCTGGGCAAAAACCACAGACCCTATGACTTTCCACACCCATGACTCAGGGTTGCCCTGACCTCCCTCCTGTCAGACACCATGGACCTTCATACTCATATGCAGCTAGGCATGAATCCATATGTAAAAATCCTTTAACTAAAGCATAAGCTAAATATTAACAGTCAACCTGTGGTACCCACAGACTTCCTGTCTGTTAGTATAAAATGGCGCAGTGTTCAGCAAGATTCCAATGGCTCATGTCTCCTAGCTACTCAAGAGCCTGAGAGATGAGGATTCTGGTTTAAAGATACCTGGGGCAGGAAAGTTCATGAAACATTTTTTTTTTTTTTTTTTGGTCAGCCATGGGGCTTGAACTCAGGGCCTGGGCACTGTCCCTGAGCTTCTTTTGCTGAGGACTAGTACTCTACCACTTGAGCCACAGCTTCATTTCTGGCTTTTTGGTGGGGAGACGCAAGGGCTTTCCTGTCCAATTTGGCTTCTAATCCTGATCCTCACATCCTCCTGAGTAGCTAGGATTACTGGTATGAGCCACCAGCACCTGGCTCCATGAAACTCTTATTTCCAATTAAATAGCAAAAAACTGGAAGTAGAGCTGTGGCCTAAGTAGTAGAGTTCTAGCCTGGAGCAAAATGTTAAGGGTTTTGCTCAAGGCCCTGAGTTCAAACACCAATATCAGCACACATATAGATAGACAGACAGACAGACACACACACACAAATGAAGTTTTGTTTGTACAGAACCTGCATACACCCTTTCATATACTCGACATCATCCCAAGATGACTTAGAATACCTAGGATAATGTACAAACAAATAGCTATACTATATTGTTTAGGATATAATGACAAGAAGAAAGTCTATACATATTCAAAACATGATTTTTTAAAAATAATTTTGATATGTGGCTAGTTGAATTCACAAATACAGAACTTATGGATAGGCATAGCCGACTATGTAATATATGTTATGTATTCATCTCTATATATTCCTATATATTTATCTATATATCACTTTGTATTATATATGTATATACACATAATATGTATGTTATACATACATATACATACATACATGTATATATACATGTTCATATATAATATTTCTATTTGTATGTAAGTTATATATATATATTTTAATTTTGTTTTTGGGTCTGGTCGTGGGGCCTGAACTCTGGGCCTGAGTGCTGTCCCTCAGCTCTTCAGCTCAAGGCTAGCACTCTACCACTTGAGCCACAGCGCCACTTCTGGCTTTTTTCTTTTTGCTTATGTGGTGCTGAGGAATCGAACCCAGGGCCTCAGGCATGCAAGGCAAGCGCTCTACCACTGAGCCACCTTCCCAGACCTGTAAGTTATATTTTTAATTCATCATTTTCTCCCAGTTCCTGAAACACATTGAGTTCTTTCAGTGAATACAGGTTTTACTCTCTGCAATGTATTTTTTTCCTCCTACAAAATCTTTAACATTGGAATGTAAAATTAAAATCTATGTTTGGAAAAATGCAACACAGGCAATTTGTAGAAATGTGCTAAAAGGGCAAGAGGCAGGTCTGTCACCATGTCCTGATAACAAATGATTGGCTGTAGGAAAAGAATCTCTCAGATAAATCATGAACTCTGCATTGCATCCTATTTCCAAAATTTATCTATTCTCTAGAATATAGCAAGAACACTGAGTACCCTCTGACTTGCCCAGATCACACCATACCAGGAAGTGCCTTCTGATCTACTCGACCATGGAGAAAGACAGGTAAGGAGGAAAGGTAGAAGGGCAGAAGGAGCAGAGAACACACCTCCACCAGCCTCCAGGCCTCACTGATAATTGCATACTGCAGGCGGTTTAGGACGAAGCCATCAATCTCCTTCAGGACCCGCACTGGGGACTGTCCAATCTTCCTCATGAGGGCATGGGTTCGGTCCATTGTCGCTGGAGCTGTCTCAGGGTGAGGGATCAGCTCCACCAGTGGAACATAATATGGTGGATTCACCTTCGTAGACAGAGAGAAGAGAATGATTAAGGTCATGTGCTGAGTGTGGTTGACTCTACCCACCTAATCCCAGATGGTTGGATGGGGGCGGAGGCATTTTTGGAAAGGCTCTTAGATTCATCATCCAATAAGAAGACACCTGAGTGCCAAGTTGTTTTGCTAATAAATAATAATAATAATAACCAATACACATGGTGCATATTTCATCCTATTCATTTATTGCTAATCCTCAGAGCACTGACCTTCCCAGGAGAGGATTTCCTCAACTGAAAAATCTCTGCAGGCTCTGCCATTGTCCTATGTTGGTGTTAAGAACAGGAATCGTATCCCTAATTTTCCATATCCACTTCCCCAATTTAACATCACCTTGTTCTAGATATTAGCAGGCATCACATTGTAGTGTGGTGTGAGGCAGGAGGGCATCCATCCATGATTGGATATCCTGGAGGGTTAATTTAACTAGTGGAGGCCTCCATTAGAGAGAAGGGCCCAGTGGAAATGCTAGCCCAATCTAGGATTTAACCTTTGGCTCTGGTTTTCTTAGGTGTGTCTGCTATTGACTTCTTATAAAATTGTTTAACCTGTTACCTTTTTAAAAATCAGGATTCTAAAAACTAGAAGTACACCTGCATTCCAGTAGGGTATTGGACTTGGGGTCTACTACAGGTAGCACCAATAGGCCAGACAAAAAATGTGCATTGGTTAATGATGTGGGTACAGAGAAATGTTTTGCTGGTGATTTTGTCATGTGTACAACTAGAGTCCACAAAAGACCTAAGACAGCTACCACATTACTAGGTCATAAAAATCTTTTGGGGAGGGATAAGTGGGAGAAAATGAGGAATAAGGTAACAATGATTAAAAATAAATGTACTCATTACCTTACTTATGTAACTCTAAAGCCCCCACCCCCAAGCTCCTCACCTTTTCAATAAAAACAAAATTTAAAAAAAGTCTGCTGGGACCACTGTTGGACATGCAGTCCATTATTGACAGTGTAGTGCATGATGGCTGGTATAAAGCATTTTTTGATGAATGACTCACTAGAGTCTAGGCACAGTATAAATAGGAAGAGCACAGTCCAGGCAGTTTAATCAATTTTTTTCCTCCTTTGATGGTACTAGAGTACAAACTCAGGGCTTTGTATTTGCTAGGCAGGTTCTCTACTGCTGAGTCTTGCTGAGTCCTGCCTCTGTTTTTTGCTTGTTATTTTTGTGATAGGGTCTCATGGTTGCCTGGACTTTGTTCTTCCTATTTATACTTCCTCCCATTGTTGGGATGACAGGAGTGTATAACCTACCCCAGCTTCCCTGAGATAGAGTGTCATGGACTTTTTCAGAGTGGCCTGAAACTGAGATCCTCTGAATCTTAGCCTCCCAAGTAGCTGGTGTGTGAGCCACAGTGCCTGCCACTTTAAGCACATCTTAGTGTGCAGTTCAGTGGCATTAAGTATATTCTGTTACTGTGTAACCATCATCACCATCTGTCTCCAGAATCCTTCATCCTCTGATTCAAAACTCTACTCTCATTAAGCAACACTCCCCCTGTCCCCAAACCTGAATATTATGGTATATGTACTTATCACAATTAAAAATTTAAAAAAGAGGTCAAGCACTGGTGGCTCAGGCCTGTAAAATTAGTTACTCAGGGGGCTGAGATCTGAGGATTGTCATTCAAAGCCAGCCCTGGCGGGAAAGTCCATGAGACTTTTATCTCCAATTAACCACCAGAAAACCAGAAGTGGCGCTGTGGCTCAAGTGGTAGAGCTTGGAAAAGCTCAGGGTCAGTGTCCAGACTGAGTTCAATCTCCATGACCAACAAAAAAATAAAATAAAATAAAAAACGAAACAAGAACAGGGTTCTAAATTGGGATAGATGAAGGAGAGAATAATGGGAGGGGTGATACTGAATTGAAACTTTTGTATAACTACTTAAAGTTAAACTTAAAATACTATAATTTTTAAAATGTTATCAAAAAATAAATAAAAACCCCAGGGCTCTAACCACAGCCCTTTCCAGCTCAAAAGTCTACAGCAATATCTACCTATAACAAGAGACATGTAACCGAGAAAGAGCCTTTAGTAACTGGGCTCTTTCTGTCTCTTGCAATGGCCTTTGACCCACAGTTCTGTGTCGGTGAAAACAGGCTAGCAGCTGCTCAAATAGGACTTGGAGAAGTCTAAGGCCAAGATAATGCCTTTAACCAGAGAGTGGTCTTTGTCCTGGTCAGAGGACTAGACAGGCGCAATGGTTCCTTGAGTTCCATGCATAGGAGGAGGGGAAGTAAAGAGCCTATGCTACAAAGGTTCAAGGACAAACAGGCTGGGAGGATTGCTTCTCCCATTTGATGTGGGACTATGAACAAGGCTCAGAGACAAATCCTCTAGACACAGGAAAGAGAAACATAGGTCTTAGGGATGGTCTCTGGGCCCTGCCTGGGGGGTCAGTTTTGCTGGAAGCATGGGAGGGGCTGCGACTGCCAGGCTCTGCAGGAGTTCGTCCTGGCTAGGCACAAGGGAAATATTCTTTGCTCTCAGGATCTGAACTAGAGCCCAGTGCATGTGATTGTAGATAGTGTCCTGCCAACAGAGGTTTCCTTTTCCCTCTCTCTCCCTCTCCCTCTCTCGGGATGGAGCAGCCAGCCCCACAGGGGAGGTGGCCGGCCCTCCCAGGAGACAGACAGCCAGGCCATTGACAATTCATCCACATGGGGCAAGGCAGGAAAGGAGGGGAGGGCTCTACTTTTCCTTTCTGGGAGGAAGAACAGACTAAAGATGAAGATGGAAAGGACTGAAGACTGTGTTTCAATGCTGTCTGTAATCAGGCCTCTCATCCCTCTGAGAGGGCAGAAAAGCACCCTCTACACTACAGCAGGGCAAAGTCTGGACCAGGCATTGCCAAGGTATGATGCACAGAGGGACAAAGACCGAATATGCCCTGAAGATAGCATGCCATGAGCCACTGATATAAATGACGCCATCCCAAGGGGGAAATTGTGCTGTGTTGGATGAGAGAGGTGTCTAAACAGGCAGAGGTGAGCTGGCATGACGCGCACACCTATACTCCCAAATATGGGCAATTTAACGTAGTCTCAGCTCCACACAGGCTGGAAGTACACTTCTGTGGTAGAGCTCTTACCTATCATGCTCAGGACCCTGAGAGTCCTATTACTGTCTAAGGTCTGGGCCCTTTTTTTTTTCTCCACCAAATAAAAGTGGGAGAAGCAAAGTTTATTTGAAGATGACAAGGGAAACTGAGGAAAGACCTCTTAGCCCCAAACCTGGACTCCTGATGAGTAGGGCTGCCTTATGCCACAGAAGGAGAAGAGAGAGAGAGAGAGAGAGAGAGAGAGAGAGAGAGAGAGAGAGAGAGAGAGAGAGAGAGAGAGAGAGAGAGAGAGAGATGGGGCCCAGAAACTGGTAGTCTCATAGAGGCCCATGGAGGCCCATGGAGCTCCTGTTTTAAAATCCTTTTGGTGAGTCCTGGCTGCTCTAGCATATGGTTGGCTCACCACCTTCTTTACTCCATGGGGAAGGTGGGGGTTCCTGTCACCTGTGAGGATATGCTCTGGAGGGAGTTGTCCAGGCCTTTGCTTTCTCAGAGCCATTTTCTCCACTTTCCCAGAGGAGGGGGTATAGGCTCCACTGGGCTGTCTCTGCCTTCTCAAGGTCTCCATCAGGTTGCTCTCTTTCCCTATGCTGTCTACACAGTTCTAAATCTTCCTCATTCTCATCCCTAGTACAGGAGAGAGAGAAAAGAAAGAAAGGTGAGGGAGGGAGGGAGGAAGGAAGGGAGGAAGGGAGGGAGGGAGAGAGGGAGGGAGGGAGGAAGGAAGGAAGGAAGATAGGAAGGAAGGAAGGAAGGAAGGAAGGAAGGAAGGAAGGAAGGAAGGAAGGAAGGAAGGAAGGAAGGGAGGAAGGAAGGAAGGAAGGAAGGAAGGAAGGAAGGAAGGAGGGGAGGAAGGAAGGAAGGAAAGGAAGGGAAGAAAGGAAGGAGAGGAAGAGAAGGAAGGAAAGGAAGGGAAGGAAGGAAGGAAGGGAAGGAGGGAGAAGGGAAGGGGGGAAGGAGAGAGTTACAAGCATGCAGACAAGGTGACTGGGGTACCTTCTGGCACTTTCTGGAAGGAAGTAGGCCCTTATCTCATTCCAGAAGAACTTTTTTTTTTTTTTCTATTATTTTTTTTGTCCAGTCGTGGGGCCTGAACTCTGGGCCTGGGCGCTGTCCCTCAGCTCTTCAGCTCAAGGCTAGCGCTCTACCACTTGAGCCACAGCACCACTTCTGGCTTTTTTCTTTTTTCTTATGTGGTGCTGAGGAATCGAACCCAGGGCCTCGTGCATGCAAGGCAAGCCTCTACCACTGAGCCACCTTCCCAGCCCCTAACTGGTAACTCTTCTTCAGTGTTTCCATTACATGTGAGATTAAATATCCTTAGCCATCACACCCTACCAGCCACACTGTCCTCTTTACGTCCCTCCCCACAGGGAAAGGGGGCAGACAGGAAAGTCACCCCAAAATACATCTGGGAGGAAAAATGTTTGGAAGAGAGAAAATGGATACACAAACACCCCTCTTCCTAGGCCTATGTGTGGCCCTAAATACATAACCACTTCTGCCAGCTCAGTCTAGGAAGCTTTGTTAAAGACACATCTGAACTCAGGCACTGACAGCTCACACTAACCCATCAACACCTTGAGTTGAGATAACCAGAAATCCTGTCCTAACCCTTCAAGAGAACTTGAGGTTGTCACAACCTGTTAGCTGGCAGCTGTTCTGGGCAGAGATGAAGCCAGCAACTTTACCAATTGCTAAATACCCATTGTGCCAGAGCCTTCAGGTGGCATGAACCTGCCTCCTTCTGCTCATCCTATTTCCTTTCCAAGTAGAAATTGCAAAGGACTTAGATGACTGAGCCCATGAGCTGGATATGCAGCTTCTTCTGTCTGGCCCCAGGCACTGGGGGAAATTATGGATCCTCAAAGATTAGCAAGGGCTTTGGAAGCCTACCTAAACTATTTAATATATTCCTTCACCCATCCACTTACCCTAGAGGCCAGAGTGATGATCAGTTCAAGGGACAAATTCCAAAGATGTTTAACTTGGGTCATCTGTCTTGCTTTAGTTCATAACTTATAACATTAAAAATACCTTATAAGAAAGCTGGGTGCTGGTGGCTCATGCCTATAATCCTAGCTACTCAGGAGACTGAGATCTGAGGATCATGGTTTAAAGTCAGCCTGGGCAGAAAAGTCCCCACAAAACTCTTACTCTTATTAATTAGAGATAACTCCAATTAAGTACTCAAAAAACCAAAGTGGTGCTGTGGCTCTAATGGTAGAGCTTTAGCCTAGAGCACCACGAGGCTCAGGCACAGTGCCCAGGTCCTAAGTGCAATTCCTACAATTGACAAAGATAATATAAAAAATAATAAAAAAATACCTTATGAGTAAGAAGTGATTAATTTTTTTAAAGAAGGCTCGAACTTGTTTTAATGGCGCTGTCTGTGATTAAACAAGCAACAGCAAATAATACCTAGATAGGAGGGTAATAAAGCAGAGAAAGGTCACTGTTCTAGTCCCTGACCTGTGGCCAAACGATATTGATGGGTACAAGAGAAAATAAGGCAAATCAGATTAGTCTCACGAATCAGTGTAAAAGCTAAGAGATACAGGAAGAGTCTTGTCGAAGGACTTAGGAGGTACTTTATGAACAATTTTGTGTGTGTATGCTGACACTGGGCCTTGAAACTAAGGCCTCTCACTTTCCTTTGGCTTTTTTTGCTAAAGGCTGGTGTTCTACCACTTGAGTCTTGCCTCCACATCTGGCTTTTTGAGAGTTAGTTGGAGATAATCTCTCTGACTTTCCTGCTGGGGCTGGGCTGGCTTCCCACAACCCTCAGATCTCATCCTCCTGAGTAGCTAGGATTATAGGCATGAGCCTATAATAGCGCTTGACACTATTTTTCCCCAAAATTTAAACCAACTTCAGAGCAAAAGCACTGGTTAGAATTGGGAGCATTCTAACAGAGGAGGAGGCAACAATGCTGCATAAGAAATGTACTCATTACCTTGCCCATGTAATTGTCATCCCTCTGTACGGTATTTTCACAATTAAAAAAAAAGCCATTCAAAAACAAACAAAAAAAAGAATTGGGAGCATTCTTACAAGCAAACATCTTCTACTGAAAAAAGTGATTCCAAGAATACTTTTACGAGGTATATATGCCTCAGAGACAAAGACAAAACAAGCTTTACTGAGTTATATTTGGGCACTTTCCATGAGAATCTATCTCTCTCTGTCTGTCTATCTATCTCTCTCTCTTAGTCAGTACAAGAAATTTAATTCAGGGCCTCATATTCTCCCTTGACTTTTTTACTAAAATCTGGCATTCTACCACTGGTGCTACACCTCTACTTCTAGCTTTTTGCTGGTTAATTGGAGATAAGAGACTTCTGGACTTTTCTGCTCTGGTGGCTTCAAACTACAATTATTAGATCTAGCCTCCTTAGTAGCTAGGATGACATGCATGAACCCTCAGTCTTAGCATGAGAACCTGTCTTTGATTCTAACCTAACTTCCATTTGAGTGATGGCTAGTTCTCTTCTATGTTCTATGTGTCTGTGTTCTATCTAGCTGGTAACTCTTCTTCAGTGTTTCCATTACATTTGAGAATGCAGCAAGACATGGAGGTCATGCAGCTTTGTGAGTGGTATTCCAGGCTGCTCTGTTCTTGGCATAGAAGATCTGGTGGGCATCTACAGCACATCATCTTTCTTCTCTCTAAGCAACCTGGTCCCTTTTCATTATCTACTGCCCTTGTTCAGAAGAGGAATTTCCTTGCCCTCAATCTAGGCCTGTCACTCATACTTTGAATAATGACCCATGTCCTATGTGGTCAGAGTTCTGCCTCTCTTCACTATGGAGTGGACCCTTCCAAAGCAGGATTTCCACATCATACTGGTGCTCTGTAACTAAACTGGTTCCAGGTCTTCAGGGTAACTCTCATGATTTCTTCTAACTTAACTATTGGTTACTTCCTATCATCTGAAAAGACAAAATTTAAAATGGTCTAGAAATGTGAAGCACTGACATTTGCTCAAAACCCAGCATTTCCAATGTTGGATTTTTTGGATTGGGGAATGCTCAATTGGTAGAGTATACACAAATATTTCAAAATCCAAAAGAACTCCAAAATCTCAAATATTCCTAGTCCCAAACATTTTGGATAAGGAATGCTTAACTTAACAAAGCTATCTCATGAGCTGGGTGCTGGTGGCTCACATCTGTAATCCTAGCTACTCAGGACACTTTAGTCTGAGGATTACAGTTCAAAGCCAGCCCAGGCAGAAAAGCATGTAAGATTCATTTCCAATTAACCAGCAAAAGCCAGAAGTGGAGCCATGGCTCCACTTCTAGAGCACCAACCTTGAGCAAAAAAGATAAAGGTGAATGTCCAGCTCCTGAATTAAATCACCAGTACCAGTGCACATACACAAATACAAAACAAAGAAAATAAAAGCCTTCCGCTTTCTCCCCACTGCTTCCCAAATATGTGTGTTCTTCTAGTCAGACTGGCTACTTCATGATTCATGGCCTCTATATGGCTTCTTCCCAAACTAAACCTCTCATGATCTGAGACTGACAAGGGTGAGACTGCATCACACACTTTGGTACTTCCTGTAGCTTGGGCTGAACTACCTTTCCTGTTGTAGCATGTTGTCCAGGTTCTCTAAGGCCACGCTGAGCTCCCAGTTGGAACTCGTGTATTTCTACCATTCCCTTGCTTTTCCCTTCCTACTCTAAGAAAGATGCACAGAGTGCTCATACACGAATTTGGAACCAGTATAACTTTTTTGGGAGGAAAGGGGTGGGCTTGAACTCAGAGCCAGGGCACTCTACCTTAGCTTTTTCCCTCAATGCTGATACTCTACTACTTCAGACATCTCTCTATTTCTGGCTTTTGCTGGTTACTTAGAGATAACAACTTTTTTGCTTAGGCTGGCTTTGAACTAAGGGCCTTAGATCTCAGCCTCATAAGCAGCTACGATTATAGATGGGAGCCACTGGCACCTGGCACAGTATACCTCTTAATGCACTCCTGGAGAGAAAGTATGCTCAATAATTCCAGACTGGTGAAAGGAACAGGGGAGGAAGAGTTTAAAGTCAGATCTTGGGAATCAGAATTCAGGAGTATAGTAAGACAATGAATCTGCATTTTATACACTGACCCTATACTGCACTGCATTCAGTAGACCACATAGAATCAGTGGCATATCCACAAAATGTCACTTCGCATTTTTAGTGTGCTAGTGCTAGACTTGAACTTGGGTTTTGGGCACTTGCTTAACTTTGTTGTTTAAGGCTAGTGTTCTACCATTTGAGCCATACTTCTACATCTGGCTTTTTGCTGACAAAAGTCTCAGGCGTTTTTCTACTCAGTCTAACTTTGAACCACTATCCTCAGATCTCAGCCTTCTGAATAGCTAGAATTACAGTTTTAAGCTACTGGTACACAGCACTCTACCTTGGTGGTAGAATAGCTTGCTTAGAAGCCAGCCTCCTTGGTTACCTGAGGGTTAAAGCCTCCAACTTTATCCTCCTGTGTCCTGTTCCTTTAGCTACATAGATAAAAATTCAAGAAATTTGTGGATCATATTCTCCTTTCAGATGCTGCTACTGTATAACTCTAACTGTAACAAAAAATATTGAATTGTACAATCTCAATTAGCCAATATTGTGGTATATAAATTATACCTCAGTAAGGCAGTTCAATATACTAGACTACTATGAAATAGTACATTCATTGCAATTTATTACTCCCAAGAAAGTGAATGAGATACAATCAATAGTCAGGCGTAAAACACTCGCATAGGTCAGGTGCTGGTGGCTCATACCTATAATAATCTGGATTTGAAGTCAGCCCAGCCAGGAAACTCTGTGAGTCTCTTACCTCCAATTAACCTGCAAAAAGCCACAAGTGGAGGCGTGACTTTAGTGACAGAGTGCCAGCCTGGAGTTAAAAAGCCCAGCACTAGGCCCTGAGTGCAAGCCCCAGTACTGGCACCAAAACAAACAAACACACTGCAAGGGCCTGGGTTCTTTGCAGAGATAAACAAAACGAAATACTCACGGGATGAGCCACAATGCATTGCTTCACATGTGCCAAACCCACAAACAACTTGGAAGGCATAAGGCAAGAACTGGAACTGCTCAAGACAACTTTATCATCCACAATGCGATCTAGCTGGGCAAAAATCTTCTTCTTCAATTCCAGGTTTTCTGGAACACATTCCTGAAAAGGACATGATTAGATGGTTGATTATTTGTGATCATTACCCACATTCAGACTCCAAGCAAGGTATTGGTCTGCTTCAGTTCTGAAGTGAACCAACTTGGAAATGATGGGCTTTAGGACATGCTACCTTGACATACAGCACCTTGGCATTGAAAACACTGAATCAAGAATATTGCCTTGACCTTTCCTTGGCCTTTTCCCTGCACCATCCCATAAACTGGTCATAAGAGACTGTTCTCTTCCTGTGGGTGATATCATCTAGAGGTCTTGAATTTTTCCTCTCCACCAAATCAAAAATTATAAGGCAGAAGTGGGAGCAGAGGGAAAGTTTATTTGAAAATTAAGAGTAAGACACCAGGAGAAACTGAGGAAAAGCCTCTTATAGCTACTGTTAATTCACAGAAGCCCCCCAACATGGACTCCAGACTGGGAGAGCCACCTTATGCTACATGAGGTCTTATTCACCTGGTTCCCTGGCAAGGATGAGGAAGCGGGACTCAGAGCAAGACAGAGGCCCAGAAATTGGTGGCCTGATGTTACTGGTAGGAGCCCCTCTTTTATAGTCTTTTGTCCAGTTTCAGCTGCTCCAGCATCTGGTTGGGTCACTATGCCCCGATCTGGTTCAGCATCATCAGGAAGAGGAGGGGGTCATTCTCATCTTTGAGAAAACAGGGCACAGGGAAGAAAATGAATCAATAGCTTTGCCAATTCCCCCTAATTTCGGACCCTAAGATCAGACACCCTGGTCTAGGCATACTCTGCATGAATCATCCAAAGGATTCCTTATTCTTTGGGCTTTCACTTCTGAAAGTGCTCAGGTCATGTAAAGCATTATTTAATGTATATGCTTTTTTTCATATTAAGCTATGTTTTGTCATAGGATCCTCAGCATGAACCTTGCTGTAGGTGAGGGGAAAGATTACTTTTTGCTTCCCTTCAAAAACCACCAGGAAAATTTAACAATAGGAAGGCTGCTGATAGAACACCTGAGAATTCTTGAGAACTCTAGAGGTGGATCCATGAACATCTGTTGTACTCTACTTTTGGGGGAGTTTTGTTTTGTCTTGTTTTGTTTTGTCGGTCATGGGGCTTGAACTCTGAGCCTGGGCACTGACCCTCAGCTCTTCAGCTCAAGGTTATCACTTGAACTACAGCCCCACTTCCAGTTTTCTGGTGGTTAAATGGAGATCAGAGTCTCACAGACTTTCCTGTCCAGGCTGGCTTTGAACCATGATTCTCAGATCTCAGTCTCCTGAGTAGCTAGATTACAAGCATGAACCACCGGCATCTGACTGTACTCTAGTTTTCTATAGTCTGAAAATTCTCATCCTTATTTTTTTAAAGGACTCCTGGCTGGTTGCTACTGGTGGCTCACACTGTAATCCTAGCTACTCATGAGTCTGAGACCTAAGGATCAAGGTTCAAAGCCAATCCTGAGCAGCAAAGTCTATGAGACTCTTATCTCTAATTAACTGGCAAAAAGCCAGAAGTGAAGGTATAGTTCAAATGCAAGAACACCAGCCTTCTTTGAAAAAGCTAAGGGACAGTACCCAGGCCTTGAGTTCAAGCCCCACTACTGGCACACACAAAATCTACCAACTAAAAAATTCTCACAATGAGCAAACCCTTAAGGGGTGGGCATAACAGAATCCTCAATAGCCTCTCCCACAAAGTGCTACTAACTCCAACATCACCAAATGACTCCCCTATCTGTTCTGACCATCAGATCAACTGATCTTCAAGGAAAATCTCCTGAAATTAAGTGTTATTATCTGTAAGGCCCCAAAGGCTCCTGGAGAATTCCTTCCTAATTTCAAGTCCTTTTGAAAAGGACTTTTGTTTCTAAATAATCAAAAGTTACTTAAATGGGAGTGAGGAAAGGGATGGGGAAGTAAATTTAAATTAATTACTGCAGACAAATAATAGCCTCCCTAGAATTCCAATGACAGAGCTGGGTGGGAGAGAGATGATACTCTTTTTATTGTGAAAATACTGTACAGAGGGGTTACAATTACATGGGCAAGATAATGAGTACATTTCTTATCAAGCATTGTAGCCTCCTCCTTTGTTCCCCTTCCCATCCCTTCCCATTCTTTCCCCCCTGCCCCCCGCCACAACCCTCCTCCCCACCACCATCAAAGTTGTAAAGTTCATTTTCGACATAACGACTTGTACATCTCATTGTTGCAATGGGTCCACCTGTATCCCTAGTTAAATGATTTGTTTTTCCCCTTCCCCTCCACAAATTATACTGACATGAAATACAGTGAAAGCAAGGGTTATACCATGGGGGAAGGACATACAAAGCAACAAAGAAATCATCTTATAAATGTGTTAGAAACAATCGCATGAAAGAAAAAAAACACTTGAATACATATCTTGGGGTTCATTTCCCTAACATCACATTATCTGACCTTTTCTGCCTGACTCAGACATATACTAGTTATTGCAAATAAGGGAAACCATGGGACCTATGTTTCTTTGGGCCTGTCTTACTTCACTTAATATAATTTTTCCAAGTCTTTCCATTTCCTAACAAATGGGGCAATGTTATTCTTTCTGATGGAGGCATAGAATTCCATTGTGTATATATACCACATTTTCTTAATCCATTCATCTACTGTGGGGCATCTGGGTTGGTTCCATATCTTAGCTATGGTAAATAATGCTGCAATAAACATAGTCGTGCTGGTAGCTTTAGTGTAGTCTTGTTTGTGAACATTGGGGTAAATGCCCAAAAGTGGGATTTCTGGGTCATAGGGGAGCTCTATGTGGAGTCTTTTGAGGAATCTCCATACTACTTCCCAAAGTGGTTGAACAAGTTTACACTCCCACCAACAATGCAGTAGAGTTCCCTTTTGGCCACATCCCCTCAAGCATCTGTTGTTATTAAGAGTTCTTGATTATAGCCAGTCTAACTGGGGTGAGGTGGTATCTCAATGTTGTTTTGATTTGCATTTCTTTTATGGCTAAGGAGGTTGAGCATTTCTTCACATGAAGAAATGAGATGATAATCTTTAATCAGCTGGCGTTAGCTAAGGGAATAGAGGTTAAGGTAAGCCCCACCCTGCCCAGCATCAAAGCAAAACCTGAGGGGAATGCTAGAACTGCTCACAGACTGTGGAAAAGCTGGAGCTGGCCTGCCCCATCTGCCTTGGGCACCTCTGGGGATGTCACAGCAGACTAAACCTTCTCAAGGTGGAGCCTGGATCGCCTAGGGCAGGAGTGCTGCAGGAAATGCCACAGGGAGTCACTGTGGGACTTTAGTGTCTTTTGTTTCTCATTATGGTCCAATAACCAGAATCAACTGGGTGAATGTTGAAAATGAAAACTCTTAGGCCCTAATCCCAGGTCTACTGAATGGAGGGGTATTCTAGGGTTTGGACCCTGGATCTTGCACTTGCTAGGCAAATGCTCTACCACCTGAACCATGCTCCTAACCCTTTTCACTTTAGAGAGAGAGAGAGAGAGAGAGAGAGAGAGAGAGAGAGAGTGTGTACACATGCATTTGCGCATGGTGGCCCTGGGGCTTGAACTCAGGGCCTAATTGCTGTCCTGAAGGCTTTGTTTACTCAAGGATAGTACTCTACCACTTCAGCCACAGCTCCACTTTTAGCAATTTCATGTATTTTCCTACCTGGACTGTCTTGGAACCTCAATCCTCAGATCTCAGCCTCCTGCTAGAATGGTGGCATGGGCCACCAGGGCACTTTTGTTATTTTAGGATAGGATCTTCCATTTTTTCTCAGGCTAGCGTTAAACCACAATCTTCTGACCTACACCTACCTGCTTTTGGGCACCTCTGGGGATGGCATGGTAGCTGGGACCACACACAGAGAAGTAGAGATGGGGGTCTCTTGTTTCCATATCTTGGAATTCATTTCAGTATGCATACTGTTTTTATATAAATACAAAGAGGCACGTGGGCATTGTTCCTTTGTGTTTCCCTCTTGAGTATATCCTCTTTTGGTCTCAATGTGTGTGAGTATCCAGAATCCTAGATAATTTATCATATCCCAGTGTATTTTAGATCTAATTTCCACATATCAGAGAGAACATGCCCCATATGTCCCTCTGAGCTTGGCTTACCTCACTTAACATTATTTGTTCTAGTTCTACTCATTTCCCAGGAACACATTTTTAACAAGTATCCTGGTGATTCCTAATGCTCAGAAGCACTGTTGTGTGGACTCAAACTGGGATGCTCACTACCCCTAAAAATAGTGGTAGGTACTCAATACAACGTATGCTACCAAATGTGCCCTCTACTCTCATGCCAGGATTCCCACCTCCCCCAGCTACTCAGGGCAACTTCCTGCCCTGACAGGAAGTGGAAAACTGGCATTGTGGTCACCTTATGGTCTCTAATCACCCAATCAATTTCCCTGAAATGTTAAACTCATACAACTTTCACGAAAACAACCAGAAATGTGCAATAACAGAAATTCAGTGTTGCTGTATAACTTGCAATGATATCAGAATCACTTCTTTAAAAAAATTAAGACAACGCTGGGCGCTGGTGGCTCACGCCTGTAATCCTAGCTACTCAGGAGGAGATCTGAGGAGATCGGAGGAGATCTGAGATCTGAGGATCGCGGTTCAAAGCCAGCCTGGGCAGGAGAGACCGTGAGATTCTTATCTCTAATAATCCACCAGGAGACCAGAAGTGGCGCTGTAGCTCAAGTGGTAGAGCGCTCGCCTTGAGCTGAAGAGCTGAGGGACAGCGCCCAGGCCCAGAGTTCAAGCCCCATGACCGAACAACAACAACAAAAAATTAAGACAATCTTTTCAAGGTCTTTACCAGCTATATATAAACAAAGGCTTCATTATCCAGAATATACAAGGAATTCAAGTAACTAAATCCCGCCCCCACTCAAATCAATAACCCAATTAATAACAAGTGGAACTAAAAAACCATTATGTCAGTGAGACATATGTTTCTCTCATATGTGAAAGCTAGATTAAAAATGCAAGCATACCTGATAAGATGTATAGGG